TATGCTTGAAAAACAGTCGTACTTTTTATGGATATTTTTTATAGGAATAGATATACACGCGACAAAGTCTGCCGAGCTTAGTGAATGTTAGGAAACAAATAGTACACCAAGTCGATCTTTTCTCATTAATGAAAATAACATATTACTTCCAATGATCTTGATCTTAACAAATGTTATTAAGATTATGACCCTAAACAAGATATTTAAGCCATTTTTGACACCTTAAGCCAATGCCGATAATGTACTATACTTTCGATGTAATGAAAAATTGGCAATTCCATTTTAAAAAATTAACGTAACCTGGCCTTGGCGATGCTACTTAAGGTCAAGAAGATGTAATCAGTAAATAGATCTTTTTAAACTCTACAACTTTTGTCTGAAACATTTTTCTCAAAAACGCTTTGCTTTCGAGATATTCGATCGTCTCCACTTTTGACACATCCTGTATATTGAAACGTAACCTCTCTTAATTTACTAGTTTACGCAAAATGGCCACGGTGCAGTAACAAGACGCAGAAGTCTGGAGATTTAGCGAGAGCTTTGCTTCCCGTCCGTGACGACGCGAGTGCTCCCGCAGGCGTGTTACCGTGTCACCAGGTGCTCCCGATGACACGGCGTGGCACACGCTACGGGAGGTAGGAGCGGTCTGCCGTCCCCAGGGATGGGTATCAACCCCGTTTGGTTCGTCGGGCGGGTGACGGTGTTTTTTGTAGGGCGTGAATGATGGAGGGCCGCGCGAACATACTCCGTGACAAACTCCTCATCCCCCATTCCAAGCGGACGGGCCATGGAGCCGCTCGGAAGTATTTCGAGACAGGGTCCATGGCCTGGATCACTTCCGAGCCGCTCCGACGTATTCGGAAATCTGGATCGGGGGCGGCAGTGGGAGCAGTTATCCCAGTGCTTCCGCGATAGCGTCTCTCCCGAACCGGGACCCTGGTTAGGTAACTGTTTATCATGGGCCATGAGCCCCCCAGACGTGCTAATCACCACGGAAGGTAAGACATGAAGGAGGCGCCTCCAAGTCCTGAACCTGTGGGGCCATCCGGATAGCACCATCCGTAGCGGTATCTCCGAGTCGGGGGTCTTATGAAAGCCGTGGGAGTGGAGCTCGTTCCATTCACGGTGAATAAGGGGTTTGGAATCCAGTGCCCCAGATGCATATAGGCTCGAGGCATATGCCAGCCCTCTGGGGGAACTCGGGGTCCTCTCTAGATCATGTCTCTGGGGAGGTGAAGGCACGTCCGACTGGCGGAGCCGCTGCGGGGAGTGATATCAAACCAAGAATGACTGGAAAACCACGTAAACAAGGCAGAAGATCTACCTGAAAAAAGGTTTCTTTTGTAGGGGAGGAGGAGAATTCTTCGAATTAAGTTCGGACGGCTATTTTGAGTTGTCTTTCTCGCAGGAAGGCTTTGATGAGGACCTGACCCTAGAACTAGGAATAATCTCCGCGGATGAATACACTCGCCTTTTTATCAGCGCGGACGGTTATCTGTCACTTAATGCACTGCTAGATAATGACGATGACATAACTGAAGAAGGAGACATCATACATTTGAGAGGTGGGGGAAAAGGCACCTATCCCTCATCCGGCACTACATCGCCAGATCCTCCTACAACAGAGTTGCCGGCTCCATCCGTGCAATGTAAACCGGATCGAGATCATCGAAGATGTCCGCTTCGTCGACACCCTCAACAAGAAAGAGGAGGTCCCCAGGAGAGGTTTTTTCAGACTTAGATGTCCAGGATGCTGGTAAAAGGTCTAAAGAGAATGAGGATGACAACACATTGATCGTCTCGGATTATCGCCGAACAAAACAGAGAAGTCAGTGTCCCGCCGGGGCTCCGGCGGAATCGCTGAGAGGCTCCGTCCAAAACCGTCTCCAGGGTGTGATTTTGTACAGGCCGACTTGGACGACTGCGTGAGAGCACCGAGCGATCAAAGGTCGCAGAGATTGCGGAATTATCCATTCAATTGTCTGAAGTGGAGTCTCCTGGAAAAACCACGGGAGGTACTGAAAAGAAATGTCCGAGTTCGGCAAAAAATCCCGATCATGAAGAGAAGTTTATGAGCTAATGAGAGAAGCTAGCATTAGCTATTTAAGCTAATGAGAGAAGAATAAGGGAGACAGAGAAAATCGCCCAGCGTATTAAGGACGGAGAGTTCGTTGTTGAGCCTACTTCGACCTCTTGTTCAAGAAGGAATGAAAAGCGCCTCAAGTACAATTCTGAACTGGAGAAGGAGTTGAATCTTCAGTCCTCGGAGACAGTAATTGCCACAACCGTGAAGGCAATTAAAATGATTGCCAAAGCAGTCGAGCGATCGCGAAATATAAAGGGTAAATAATCCATCAACTATGGTGAATTGTCACCATCTTGACAGCGTCCTGTGGGGTCCCCGATAAAAGAGCCCTTACAGACAAGAACGGGAAGTCTAGGCCAGCTGTCTCTGAAGAGGAACGCTCCCACCATAGGTTCAGGGCGGAAGTTGAAAGCTCGAGAGGAAAAGAAGCGACTGACAGAGGAGTTTCACGAGGCCCGTTTTTAGAGGCGAAAAAGTTGCGGGACAATCACAACCCTACTGGTGCCCTACGGAGGGGAACGCTTGTAACGAGCCCGTTGATCTCATGCCTCTCTCGTCTTCCAAACTCCAGTGGAGACGAAGGAGCGGTGCGACGGAGGGACATCAAAGATGAGGGCATCGTCCCCGTCTCCTCCCCTCGCTGCTAAGACGGAGCCGATGGAGGTGGATCAGGCCAACATCTCCACTGCCAGAGGCTTGGAAGCTCCCAAAAGGGTCTCCAAGCGAATCGATGCCCCTAGTTCCATAGTCACTAAAAGGGCACATGCGGCCGAGAGGTGGGAGAGTCAGTCTGTTCTCCCGCTCCCCAAGATTATGCGCGTGGGAAAGTTCCCCTCTAGGTCTCAAGAAGGTAATCGAGTCCATGGTTGTCAGGATAATAAGAAAGATTGGCCTTGCGCACACGCAAGCCGCGCAAGGCCGGGACCCAAGGAGAATGCATCAAATCAAGCCCATGCTTTCCCGAGCAAGAGCCGCCGAGACCACAAACGCACCAGCTCAAAGAGCTCCAAGGCGGCCTGGAAAATACCGATAGAACCAAAGGGCCTCTCCAAAATGGCTCCCAAAACGCCCACTGCGGCAGGAAGGCGCAGGAGATTGGCCGAATCTGAGAAGGCTTGTACTAAAGTCTTTGGCTGAAAGGTCAAAGCCAAGCTACAAAGAAAGGCAGCCAAGGCCTTCAGGTAAAAAGGCTTCCATGGCGAACAAAAAGCCCGCCAAAAATAACGCCCTCTCCCTAAAAAAAGGGTAGTATGGCTGTCCCAAAAAAGGTGATTAAAATACGTCGGCGGCGATCACAATAACCACCCCTCCGGGGTCATATAAAGAAGTAATGGCCCAGACGAAGAAGGAAATTCTCCTTGTGCCCATATACACACACACAAAACTGTCGGGAGGGTCAAGGTGGAGAGGCGGTGCCCCCCCTCTCATTCAGACCGGGAGGTCCATACTTAGACACCTAGGGGAGTCCAAGCTATCCTAGATGTTCACCGGGGACAATATGCCGCCAGCAGGCGACAGGCTCTGGGGGATCACGGATGAATGCTACATGCATGCCCGGTGTCCCCCTCCCCCCCCCAACTAAGAGTCAGTGAAGGACATCAGCGGGTGGGGGGAGGGGGGTTTAATAGGTGCGAGTCTCACATAACCTTAGGGTTCGTTCCCGCGGGGTCGAGAGTATGCGCAGACATTTCCCCCGCCTAACTAAACAAAGAAAAGATCAGGTCACATCGAATTTTTTAAACAAAACCCCCTATTTTTGTTAGCAGATTCTAATAATTGGTGTTAAGAGCTTTTCAAAACGTTACAAGAAAATATTTTTTCATTAAGTACTTTTTGAGTTATAATGCTTGAAAATTACAGTGTCGTCGGCACCAGCGTTGCGCAAAGTGTCCGACTGGCTAAAACTTCTTGAATGCTGTTCAAAATCTGTTCTGGATATTATTTGTCAAGATCAAAGCCAATGGACATTGTTCCTCTTATTTTCATTTTTATGTAAAAATAAATTTTTAGTGCAAAAACGAAAATAAGAGGAATAATCTCCAATGGTCTTGATCTTGATCTTGACAAATGTTATCCAGGACATGATTCTGAACAACATTCAAAAGATTTTAGCTGTCGATCGGACACCTTGCGTAATACTAATGCCGACGGTACTATAACTTTCAAACCTTATACTCGAAAAGTACGTAATGAAATATAACTTTATTACAGTGTTTCGAAAGGTCTTAATACTAGCTATTAGATTCTGTCATAAAAAATAGCGTATTTTTTTTTTTTTTTTTTTTTAATAGACGTGACCTTGACTGGACCTTGGCAATACAGTCCAAGATCAAATCAACGATATCTTCTTATGTCTCCTTCCAAATTATACAACTTTTGTTTGAAACATTTTTTCGTATCTACTATGGTTTTCGAGAAATCTTAATGCATTATCTAAAATGAGACGCCCTGTTTAATGTGAGTAAAAGTTCACGGTGGATGGTGAATTATCCCAAAACTAAGCATTTTCGAAAGAAATGATTCCTACAAAACTTGTATCTTAAATTATCAATTCCCTAATCTGATCAGTCTGGCCTTAGATGGCGTCGGATCAAGGTCAGATCAAGGTCATATCGATTTTTTTTTAACAGCACACCCTATTTTTTATTACAGAATCTAATAATCAAGAGCTTTCCAAAAATTACAATAAAGTTATTGTACTTTTCATAGTACTTTTCGAGTTATGAGGCTTGGAAGTTACAGCATCACTGTCATTAGAATTACCCAGTACGTGAAAGGTTTTAAATATTGGATTTCGCTTGTTAAAATTTTATTCAAAAAATCATATCTCTTAATATGATCAGTTACCTATTGCAGGATCTACCGCCTATCACCACAACGCGATAGGCAAAAATGTTACATTGCAAATGGAACATCATGCTAACAGCGTAAGAATTGATTGAGATACGCAAGTAAGTTGTGAGAGATATGCTAACAAGCAACATACTGTTAGTTGTACATTCATCTGCAATCTGATATATCTAGCGGTATACTTGAGTTCCACGCTTAAGGACTCTTTCTCTTTCAAGTTTTTGTAAAATTTTCCTATGATGGCTATGTTGTCGATAAAAAAAACGTATTTGTCTGTTAATAATAAAAAGATATAAAAATAAAGAAAGATCATATCAAGAGACATGTGATCTATTCAATGTAACTCTTAATGCGCGAGATCCAAAATTGAAAATTGTAAAAACAGTTCAGCGTTTCATTGAAACAGGTAGCGTCAAAGATCGCAGTAAACGATCTACATCTGCTTCCAATGAGGAAAAGAGTGCAAATGTTTTGCAAAGTTTTTAAATCGTTTAATATGTCTACTAGAAAAGTTGCAAAATTCTTGACAGAAGACACGTAGAATTGACTTAAGTTGTTAAGTCAATTCTACGTGTCAAGTTCAAGGATAAGTCAAAAGATAATTTATCGTGACCTCTGCAACTTTATTCA